TTTTAACGTGATAAAAAAATCATCACATCTTTCTCCCGACTGTGTCCTCCGCTGTTCTCCTGTTGAAACCTTGCACGCCAAACACACCGTCTTTGTTCCTGTGTTGGCCTCAGAGCTCGGGCCGTTTCTGCTGACCTCGGCAGAAAGCTGGCTCGCTAATGGTGAGTTTCCACGCCTGCGTTTCAACCAGTTCTTCATCAGGGACAGTTCCAGAGAACGACGTGACAGGGTCATTGGCTAATGAATGCCAGGACAGCATCCTGAAGGGGTGGGGGGAGCTCGGACGCCACAACACAGACCCCGCACCACCTTCCTTCTGCCTTTGTCTTAGAGAAATCCGAGCCCATCTCCCGCAAGTCGTGTGACGCCTTAACCACGGGGGCCTTACCGCCTCATCCTGCTTGACAGAAAACACCCTGCGCACGTTGCAATTAAAAGAACGTTTCTTGCGGAGGAACTGGTGGTGTGACTGCGGAGAACGGCCTGCCAGCAGCTCCAGGTGTCCCGCGAGGGCGGTGGGAAGCGACCGGAGGCAGAACGGGAAAGGCGCAGCCGCCGGTGCAGCGTGAGGATGGGACAGAGGCCTGAGAAGAGCCGTGCGCCTCAGTGTCACTCTGTCTGGTCCGTGGGCTTCACCTCGCCTGCACCGAGCGTATCATCCGTCCAGAAGGTCTCTCCACCGTTATTCAGGCTCCCCACAAACCAGCCAGCTCCTCCCTCACCGTTAGCTCCTGGGACGGCCACCCCACACGCGGCTGCAGGGACCATGACAGCCTCAGCACAGGAAGGGCTTGTGATTTTCCTAATCCGACCAAACGATCTAGGGAACCGTCCCTCAGAGCCGAATTACCCAAGGTGGTCCCAGGAGTCAACAAAGAGCAGCACAGAAAGGACTTCACGGTTTACAGACGTGTTCCAGAAGCAGGACGTTAGGAAACGGTTATGTGTTGAAGACGGCTGTGGCATGAGCGCCGTCTCCAGTCTGGAGAGCAAACTGGTGCGTCCTTCCTCTTGGGGTTGTCTTTCCTGGCAGTGGGCAGATCTGCACGTCCTCATGAGGACGACATTTACACACACAGATGCCGACGGTATGGACGTGTGTGGCTACCACTGACAGTTCATTCTTTTTAGTGGGATGAACTATGAAACCAAACCCTAACTTATGAGGCATTAAGTGACCACATTATCTAAATTTCTCAAATCATAAGAATCCGAAAACATAATAACAAAATCTGCTATTAGAAAAATCTATGATCCCTGAATAATAACTTTCTTACCTTTAGTATAACAAGGGAACTTTGATTAAATAAATGCGGTCTAGGTCATTGCAATGTATTTTGAAAATAAAATCCTCCACGCAAAAGACCAGGCCAACTGGACAAAATACAATTTTGATTAATTAAATTTTAATTTAATCTGAAATGAATTACTCAGATATTCTTTCCTGTTGCTCAAACACGCAGAAAATGATAAAAAGGACATGAGCAGAGTCTGACCAACAGCCAGCATGTGCTGGAAGTCCTTGAATCTTTCTAGGCCTGGCTTTCTCGTGAACACAGCAAGGACATGGTTTCCCCCTCTCTCACACAAGCCCTGAAGACCTCACAGGATCTCGAACCTTAATATGCCCGCTGGACGTGTGCATTATTAGCAATATTTTGTTCGTAGGTGACAACAATGCTGTAGGGTCCTGGGAATTCAAATAACGATCAAATTCCCAGGTCATAAATAATGGTCCTTCTATCACTTGGACAGTCCATGCTGGAGGGGATCTGATGACAGCTCAGGGACAAGATGGCCACTGAGAGCGGAACCAAAGGAACACGAAAGATTGACTTCAAGAGGGAGACCCAGAACCCCGGCCACCAGATAAGAAAGGGACAGTCGCTGCCTTTCCCAAGTGCGTGATTTCTGCCAAATCCATTCAAGGAGTGGACAAAGGCACTCCATTTGGGATGCCCTGTACTGACAGTGCGTTTCCCACGGTGAAGATGTCATTATCAAGGCCGGAACTCACACTTGTTGACAGTGATCTTGGCACTAAACTCACCAGGACGGTAAACCAGAACGTGTTTGGTAAGAGAGGACGTGGAAACAGGAGATTGTCAGCTATGACTGCTTGATCAGCAAAGTGCTTGGCCAGCTGGGGTCTTGGACCCTGTGATCATGGGGGCCCTCCAACAGACTTCTCTGGGTTCTGGCAAATCTCAGTGAAGTGGTCTCTAGTGACCGGGGCCCTAAAGTGATTTCTTCTTAGGAAAGATGCTCAGCTTGACCCAGAGATCGAGCAAGGCTTTGGTGCTTCTCTGCAAAGAACTGGCAGCGATCTGAGCCCCTGTGGACGGTCGTCCACGTGGACCATCACTGTTAGGTCCGAGGGACTCCTGGGGACTGAGGACTCACCCAGGAGTGCCTCTGAAGAGGGGTGGATGGGGACACCTGGCTGCTGGGGATACTCCCTTGGAGGTCTTAGTCTTAGGAGGTGCTTGGAGGGGGGGTGGGCTGCTGAATATGAATTCTGGATCCAGGAGCCTGACAAAGGAGTGCTTATCCTCTGAGCGGGCATTTGCCTCCCAACTGTGTCCTTGTATGCTCAGATTCTCACACAATACCTGCCAGTCCCTGTCTAGGCGGTCCTGTTGGGAGACACTCGGGGCCCGCATCACACACACCCAGCATACAGCCATTATGCTCACTTACTTGAGTTTTTCTAGAAAACATCACTTGTTTTGATCCGCTATCTCACGCTAAAACACCATCACATTCCAAGCATCCAAGTTAGGATAATGATGAAAAACACCCCTATTTCAGTGACCACAATTGCCAAAGTGTGGAAGGAGCCGAGATGCCCTTCCACAGACAAATGGACAGAGAAGACGTGGTCCACATACACAACGGAATAGGACTCCGCCGTCAGGAAGGATGAGCACCCAGCATGTGCATCGACGTGGGAGGAACTGGAGGGGATTTTGCTGAGTGAAATGAGTCAATCAGAGAGAGACAATCGTCCTATGATCTCACTCATGGGTGGACTTAAGAAACGGTGCAGAGGACCACGGGGTGGGGGGGGATTAAATAAGATGCACCCAGAGAGGAAGGCAAACGATAAGAGATTCTTAAGTCCGGGAAGCAAACAGAGGGCGGCTGGAGGGGAGGTGGACGGGGGGCGGGGGTAGCTGGGCGATGGGCATGAAGGAGGCACGTGCTGCGATGGGCACTGGGTGTCCTGTGTGACCGACGGACTGCCGAACGCTGCATGTACAACTGCCCTGTACGTAGGCTGGCTGAACTGAAACGGAAAGGAAAAAACCTGCCTAAGTTGTCTTGTAAAGCTATTGCATTAAGTCTCTGCTTCTCCAAATTACATCATTTTGTACTTTAAAAGTAGGTCATTTAAAATGTGAACCAAAGTGAACTAAAATTGAAAGTTTACCTCTAGTCAGTGAAGAACAGAACCTAAAATGCGGTAAGACCCTGGGTTACTTTCCGCATGTTTGCAAAGCCATCCCAGCAGAGCCGCACCAGACTCCCGCAGGCGGAGCAGGGCTGCCGCTGCCGTCCGAGCACACTGCGGGCGCCAGGATGCGCGGCGCTGCTCACCGCACCTGCGGCAGGAGCCCCGGCCCAGCCACAGACCGGTCACCGGCTTCAGAAGTTGGCAACCTCACCCCGAACCACACACACGCAGGAAAGCGTTCGCAGGCGATCTGCCCAGTCGTTCTGCTTTCCCGCACACAGTCCGAGATTCCGAGCACGCGCAGCTCTGGCTGGTCAGGGACGCCGGGGCGAGGGCCCACGGTCCACGCAGGGAGGCTGCGGTGCCTCCGGGGCCGTGCTGCGACGCGCGGCGCCAGACCGTCTCCACGCCGTGCTCCCAGCACGACGACAGGGGAACAGCCTCGGGGCCGCGCACGTTGGGGCGTGAGATCGGCGTGCGTGTGCAAATGCAGACACGAGCGCATGGCCGTGTGCCCAGACCCGCGTGAGGGCGCGGCGGCCGCGACCCGCTCGCTCGTCCGCGTCCGCCGCTCCCGGCTCGCGCGAGCAGCCCCGCTCCGTCGCGGACAATGCACCACACTCACGGGCTGACACCTCTGCCCTCCGTGTGGAGAGGTCAGCCTCCCGGAACTCAGAGCTGTTAGAGCTTCGAGCCGGAGGAGAAGCCTGAGAGAAACACTCCTGCCCCTCGTAACACATTTGCGTTTCTCTAAGCCGATAAGGACCAAATCTAGATTCTTCAGAAAACTCCCGCCTTTCTCTAGAAAAGAAGTGACTTTTAGGAAAGGATTATCCCCGAGTCACATTTATGGGTCTGCCCTCTGAGAGGAAACCGGATGTAAGGGCAAAACCGTCTTCAACCTATTCCCCAACCCTGGCCACCGCCCCGTGCACCAGGCTGTTGTGTGTACGTGTCACTCGCAACACCGGACGCCCCAGGTCAGAAACACGGTTCTCGGTTATGAAGCAGAGGACGGGGTCAACGAACTATTTCATTTCAGCAATATTCCTTCCCACCCTGATCCGTGGCAAAAAGGACGACAATCGGCAATACACAGACAAGACTGATGCCCCCCGTTGGCACCCTGGGGTCCTGCCCAGCTTCCAGCCCCCGGAAGGCAAGCGGCTGGGCCGTCCTCCAACCAGCTCCTGGGCTAGCGCGGCAGTCCCGGGCAGGGCATCCATGAACATGGAAGGTTAAAGACGAGGCGCGCTGCCCTAAGTTTCTGGCTACAGTAGCTCAGACAAGTCCTTGAGCGAGTGCCCGATGGCCCCGTCTCGGTGGCGAGCCTTGTGACCTGGAGTGGGGCAGCATCTGCTGTCCCGCAGGACAGGGAAAGGGACGCTTTCAAACCAGTGCAAAGGACGCGTGATTGATACCCGTTTCAGCCTTGCCCAGGCCAACTTATTTTGTGAGTGAGCAACCATGCAACACCAGGAACTCCACACCAGTACACCGGCCCCAAACACCACTGGACGCCTGCTACTATTTTAAAGATTACCATTGTCATCCTCCTCCTCGTCCTCCTCCTCGTCCTCCTCCTCATCTTCCTCCTCGTCCTCCACATCCTCCCCGTCCTCATCGTCATCGTCCTCCTCCTCCTCGAGCTCCTCTTCTTCCTCCCGGTCCCCCTCCTCATCCTCCTCGTCCTCCTCCCTGTGCTCGTCCTCGTCCTCCGAGAACTCCTCCTCCTCGTCCTCCTCCTTCTCGTCCGCGTCCTCCGACCCCTCGCTCTCGTAGCACTCATCCACCGAGGAGCTGTCGGCTTTCACGGCAAACGGCTTCCGCTTAGGAGCAGGTTCTTGGGGCTGCTTATCCTGTGTTTTTCTTTTTTTAGCCAAGGGGCAGCCATAAACGCTGTGGAGAGAGAGAGAGAGAGATCTGTGTCACTATCTTTGGATATTAGAGTACCAGGGTGCCAGGTCAGGGGAGCTGAGACCCAGCACGAGTGCCGTCCATGCAGGGATGGAGCGCGTCTGGTCCTCACCGCACGGTCTCCCCACCCAGGCCTTGGTTATAGCCATTGAGTACAAACGCAGAGGTCCCATGTCCCATGGAGTTCAGGAGGATGCTTGGTGACACACTGCCCCCAAATCACGCAGCTGACGACACAAATTCACCTTCTTAAACAACCAGCCAAATACGCCTTCAGTGCGATGTACATTCTACAAGATGACTGGGTCCGTGCACAGTAAGTTAACACACACGCACTATGTGAAGTATGAAACTATGTGTGTTGTGAGAAAGCTCTGGGTGTTCTTGGATCTTTCTATGCTACAGGCCATGGTGTCTGTAAACAGAACACACTCCTCGGAGATGAACCGTGCACACCTGTTGCTGAGGACAGCCACGCGACTGAACTGTACGCAGAAGATCATCTCGACTTTACAGAAAGCAACTCAGCGTTAGAGGCGGTCATCCCTAAATCTTGCTGAAATTGGCCCAGACTTGGGTCAGACCCTTAGAGCAGGCCCCCACCCCCCGTTCTCTCAGGAAGGACAATTTTCCAAAGTGACGTTAATTACAGCACTTGTCTTCCTGGAAGCCCCACAGCTGTAGCACAAGGGGGGAAAACACGGAGGCACAAAGAGAGACGCTCCTTTTGTCTAAAACGAGATGCGCCATCTCCGTGACTGACTGAGCAGCCGGCGGGACTCTGATTAGCTTTCGGACCTGAAATGTGGAGCACGGATCCTATGGACCCATTTTCTGAGGTTCCTTCATGCTGGGCCTCAGGCCCTGCCACAGTCAGAGGGGAAAGACACAGATGTAGACAGGGGAGTGTGAGACCGTGTTGGAAGCAATCGGTGTGGTTCACATGTGCACAAAGGACCACAAGCCATGGGCTGTTTAAGGAACAGAGAGCGTGTGATCAGTGCTGTGACAAAGGCACAACAAGGGCGCTACATTATGAAGAAAGAGGGAGAGACAGCGGTTGGAGGGAGCCAGGGCATGCCCCAGAAGGACAGGGCTGGGGACATCCAAGGGGATGCATGGAGCTATTCAAATGCATTTTAAACAAAACAGAGACTTTGCAAAGATATGAACATAAGAAAGAGTATGATCAGTGCAGAAAACAGACAAAAAACCAAAGGTGGGAGGTTCAGATTGTGTGACGGGCAGGGGGAGCAGGAAGGTGGCCGGTGTGAGCCAAGGTAAGGAGCGGCCGACCAGCCTGGGGACTCAGTGACACACCTTGCCCGTGGGAGGGGTGTGGGAGAAAAGGGTAGGAAAGGGGGTCACTTGCCAACCTGGTGTCGGGTGACAGCCCTCAGAGCCTCTGCCGGACACTCAAGTCCCTGATGAGCTCGGGGGCAGCCCAGCAGAGAGAAGAGGAGTGAGTTGGACCGACGGTGGGATGGGGGGATGTGCACTAGGAGGCATTCTGCTCAGAACACAGTGCGTGTGAGCTGCCTGTGACAAGTCTCACCCAGGGAGGGGCTGGACAGACACTCGGTTTTGTACTTCAGGGTCCGCAGCTGTAGCCCAGCACCTCGAATGCTTGCTTCAGGGATGGAAGGAAAAGGTTAGTGCAGCGCCTGGTGCAAACTCGGGCCCCAGGGAAAGACGGTGACCGCTCTTAGATCATCGTCACGAGTCGTGTTCCTGCTCAGGAGCCCAGCAATCCGGCAAGCCTGCCGGTGTGCAGTTTGGACGCTCGCCATCGGCCGCTCGTCACTACTGTCGACGCTTCCCAGACCATTCAGACCGGGGCGGGATGGGAAGGGCGATGATTTCACGTCTCAGCAAGTGATTTCTTCTGGTTGCTTGGGTGCTTTCATAGCCTAGTGAAGATAATGTGATTCACCGGGTGCCCTGGGGGCCGCTGGCGCGCCCAGAGCCGAGGGACTTCCTGCCCAGCCGAGAGCATGACTGCGGTCAGTCCCTGCTTCAGTGCCGGCGTCCCTTCTTCATCTGTCAAGCAAGGGCCACGGTGACTCCCGAGACTCCACCCTCTCCAAAACCCAGGGAGATCAGCCGTTGGCCTTGAAACTTGGATCTGTTAAGAACGTAATAAATGAGAACAAGAATAGCCCTAAAACCAGAAAAACCTGGAGAGAAAATGTCTTCGTCTATGCAGCATTTCTAAGACATGAACGAGCTCTGAGCTTTCTTCTGTGTGCCTCTTTCCACGTCCTGGGGAGACCGAGTCAGTGGCCTTGGAGGGCGCCCCCCCGGCTGTCCCTCTGTGGTGCTGGACCCCGGGTCGGCACACGGCGGCTGTGCCCAGGCTGTGTCTGACCAGATGAAGATGAGTGGCAAGCGCCTTGCTGCACCGAGTCGGCCCACGGCGTCCGCTCACACCCACCAAGGAGCCCTGCTCTGCTTCAGGGGTCCCCGCACAGCGGGCGCGCCCCACAGCAGAGCACCAAGCCTCCTCTGACCATCAGATCCATCCAGATCGCTGTGAGGTGAGGTACACTCAGCAGACTCCAGGCTTCAGCGGCTCTACTCGAAATGCTCCAGGACGACGGGCAGAGGGCGACTCCGGGCAGACGAGCCAGCACCACGGCTGGGGCTCCTGTGTCACCTCCCCTCCATCCGCACACACCCAGCTGCCCGGGATCTCTGAGGGCCCACTGGTGGCTCAGACCTTAAATGGCTGGGGGGTTCATTTTCAGAGCCGGAGCGTGGAGATTATCTTTAAAACAGAGGCTGCAGTGAGAAGTTCACAGAGCTGGACTTTGGTCTGGATGCACAGGCTGCTGGGATTCTGGAAGCTGACCTGTCGGGCTAAGGGAGCGTCTGAGAGCCTGGGCGCTGAGCTGTAGGACACTGCAGGGGGGTTGGGGGGTGTCTGGCCGTCAGAACGGCTCCTCCTCAATGTCTGCCCACCGGGCCCTCCTGTTGCCATGTGAGGACAGGAACCATGGCCTGGCCCCCCTGCTCTGGTTCCTTTTCCCATCTCCTGGAGCCCACTACGGCTCCCTGTCCTCTAGAGCCCTCTGCAGCAGCAAGGCAGGGGAGTGGCGGAGAGAAAGGAAAGGGGGGAAAGCAGAAACACCATTGAGTCAGACAGCAGGAGAAGCGTGGGTGTGGAGCGTCAGGGCAGAGTGAGAAGCGGGACGGAGTCGGCGTGTGCCTGCCGGTCACCGCCGGAGCCTCACCTAGCGGGTTCCGGGTTCAGCACAGATGCATCAGCTGACAGGGCAGTGACATGCAGAGGACAGCACGTGCAGGGCTCTGCATCCCTGGCTCGACTCTGTTGACGCCAGGATGGGCTCCTGGACACTGGCTGGGCCTCAGTTTACATATCTGTGTAATGAAAGTACTGCCTGTCCTTTGCCCGTGCTAGTTTTAAAGCTTTCAGAATTCCCCAACGGTCTCTGCACGGTTCCTACTGACGTCTGAATTTCCCCGTCTCCTGCTCTGCCTCCGTTTATGACTTTGGAAACCATTTCGGCTAAATTCCAGGCTGGAGTCCGCTGACCTCACACATGCAGGACTTTCTGCTGATTCGCATGGTCGGTGCTCAAAGCCTTTCCCTGTGTCCATTAAAGGGAACAGGAGCTCGTGTGGCACACTTTCTGCAGACACATCCGTCTGCCCCTCTCCTACTGGATCCAGCCTCACTGGCCACCGGCTCCTGGTGCCGACTTTAAACGTGGAGCAAAATCCAAACCTGCAAGGGAGATTTCATTCATGCGTCAGACAGCTGGTGGCCTGGAACCTGCTCGAGTCCCCAGAGGCCTCCTGGCCTACGAGACCCCGGGGTTTAGACTGTTTCAAAACCCAACTTGGAGGACAATCCTGCAGCTGGAGGACCATGGGTCCTCTGGAACCCACGTTCTTTAACATCGTGTCTGCGACGAGGTGGCCAGACCCCGGGAGCAGAGACGCTGCACTCCCACGAGGACGGGTGCTGCCCCCCTCCCCAGCAGTCAGTGTGGCCCACCCAGGGGCTATAAAGGTGGGCGTGCTTCACAGCTGTGTCTCCCACAGACTCAGCTGGGCTCACCGCCACCAGCATGGACGAGTCTCTCTACGAGGATGATGGAGACCCATGACCCTGGACGGTCTCCGCTTTCCAGAAAACACATGGAATGCACGGTAGAGCCTGGGAATAACCGGGAAGCTGACAGGAGGGGGAAGCCCCAGGTAAACAGGCGCGGCAGGTGCGTGGCTGCCCATCCCCCACGCCCCCTGCTCGCGGGAGTGTCCGCGCTCTGCTGAGAGTCTGGGGTCTGTGCCGTTGCTTGAGTCCCCAGTTCTGCTCCTCAGTAGCACAATCAGGCCCCAGCGGCGTACTTCCCGTGGTGGCCAGTGGAGCTTTGCCGACGCCCGGGGGTTGAGGAATCTTTGTTGAAGGAACAGACCATGGTTTCCTCCAGTTATTAAAAGTGGCAGCCCTTGCCCTGTCCTGGGGGGGCGGGTTCTCCTTCACGAGACCAGAAGACGGCCTGTGTTTATCGCCTGTGCATGTTGGAGCTGGGAGTCCCCAGTACGGCAGCTGCCAGTCACATGTGGCTGTGTGATTAAAGTTGAAGAGAATTAAAAGAATTAACTCCTCAGTCACGCGAGTCACGTTTCCAGTGTCCCAGAGCCGCGGTAGCCAGGGGCTAGCATGCTGGTTGTCCCCGTCGTGACAAGCAAGCCCGTGGGCGGGCCTGAGCCAGCCGTCTGGGACACCGTGGGTGCGCAGCGGGTGTCTGCAGAGTGAGGCCCCGGTGGAGAGGACAGCGGCTGCCGCAGGACGACGAGGAGGACGGGTCAGGGAGGGCTGAGTGTCAGGCGGCCGCTCAGGATTCCAGAACTCGGACCCGGAGAAAGCTGCGTCTGTTCCTCCAGTCACAGAAGGGAGCGTGTTCCGGGAGAGCAGCAAAGTCAGAGCAATCTGCCCCGAAGGTCCCGGCTGA